ATTAGGAATAACTCATTGTGTAGATGCCACAAACATACCAAATACAAAACGCTTCCAAGGGATTGACTACCTTTATGTGCCAATTGATGATTCGTTAAATGTTGATGTCACCAAATATTTTCAAGGGGTTGCCGATTTTGTTAGAGGAGCAAAGCAAAAAGTTTGGTGAAGTTAGAAAATTTTTTCTTGAATTTTGGCTTGTGTTTGATTCATATTTTTCTTATGTTCCCTCTCTCCAATAATAGAGAGTTACCCTTGTATTGTTAGATAGGGACTAGACTTAAGGATCAACAGATATTTAAGATTGAAGTCTTGCCGTTTGACGAGTTGACGGGAGGAAATGTTTAACTGTCCAACCCGGTCCGATTTCTAGTATTATAGACTTCTTGGGTCTCTTATAGAGAGCTGTAGGGAGTAATTAAACAAATAGGTATCTCTCCCTTACTTTTCTCTTAGTTTAAACTTAAAAATAAATTTAAAATTCTAATTTTCCAAATAGGGAGGAAAGACGGTTATTTATTGTGCTGCTGGTATCAGTAGAGCTGCCACATTAACAATTATGACCTTGGTAATAAATGAGGGATTAACACTACGAGAAGCTTATTATACTGTTGTTAGGTAAATATTTATTAAATTTTTAGGAGAAAATATTTTTTTAATTTATTAAAGTGCAAGACCTATCATCGCCCCAAATTTGGCATTCTGGAGGCAAATGATTGCCTGGGAGAACGAAAAGAATGGCAAGACTACAGTTCATTTACTTAAAGGAATGCGAAGTGAGTGTTTAAATTTAAACTTAAAAAATGAGTTTCTGAATAAGATACGGGTGGAAATTTTTGATTTTCTAGATTTCAATATCTTAGATTAATTATATTAAATACTGTTGACTCTCATTATAACCTAACGCAAGGGTGACAGGCAGAATAAGGATGGGCCGGTTTGAAAGAAGTCGGGTCTGGATTTCAAAATTTCCTTAGGACAGTGTCTCGGATTTCGAGTCGAAAATTCCTGGGATATGTTAACTTGGCCCATCGCTTGTGGAATTATTTCAAAGCAACTTTTGGAGGGAAAAACCTTTGGAGGTAGCTATATCTACATGGAGTTATAGAGTTGAAATTACTAGGTTTCTAAAAAATATTTTATAGCCCCAGTGCCAGATGTTTACTTGAAAAAATCGGATTATATGCCTCCTCCAGAAAGTTGGGAAGCTCCTCCAAAATATACATTGACACCAAAAATGGGAAGAAAGTTTAACACGTGATTTTTAAAAAATTAATATAACCTCATGTAAAAAATATTTTTTTATAAAATAAATTTAATTTTCTTTTTAATTTTTCTCTTCTCCACAATTAAAAAAAACTAGCTGACTAATACTATTTAACAATAAGAAGGGATTTGCGCAAATGAACAAGTTTAATATGAAAAATATTCTAATTGTAAGCAAAAAAATTCGTTCAGTCCGCTGCATTATCCTCTCAAATGCTTTACCAAAAATAAATCTATACTATAATTCGTTATTTATTTATTCCAGCATATTCTGGATTTAATATGCGCAGCTTTATTTAAGGAGCTAAAAAATCTTTTTGAGAGTCCAAAAAATAAAAAAATATTCTTTTAATTAAATTAAAATTCAGTCTTTCAAAATACTTATAATTTAAAATTCGGATATTTCAAAAAAAAACTAGTCACCCTTGAGAATATTTTATTTTCTATCATAAGACCTTGCCGGCCTTACAATAATTTAAATTTTTTTATTATTAAATTTTTTTAATTTAAATTACGTTAAACTCGATACAGGGCAATAAAATAGGGAAATTACCTAGTCTGAAAATATAAAAATAATTTTTTTTTCATACAAAAAGACAATTTCAAAAACACTTTTTTCAGTTAACTTTTTAAAATTTAAATTATCTAGATTAATTTTTAAAAAATGCCAATAATCTGTCGTTGTCTACATAATCGAAAAGAGACGGATAAAACTACGGAGAGTTCAAAAGGAAAAATGTTTGTGGAATTTTTTTGATATTTTTTCAAAGAATTTTTTGAAATTTTCTGTTTAGTATTCAATTCTCTCCTCTTTGTGGGTGTACTCTTAAATGCCTCAAGTGCCTACCGATCAAAGTTTCGAAAAAATCGTGTGAGAAGGAAAACATGGATAAGAAATTGAACCTTGAGAAGGAAAAGATTGAAACAAAAATTGAAAAAGAGGAAAGGTTTGAAGCTTTTAAAAAATTCCAGAAATTTTTAAAATTTTTTTTAGCAAATCCGGCAAGTATAACGAGATAATATGAATATTCATGAGGATGTGATATTGTGAAATAATTTCTCGAAAAATTAATTTTTGTGAATAGTTTAGAGTTAATGATGGACTTGAATCAAAATAAAAATTAAATTTTTTTTAAATTTGTTTTATACCATAAAAACCTGTTTACATTTAAAAAACATTTGCTGGAAAAAGAACAAAAACCGAACGGGTAATGTGCCCAAAAAATATCAAAAAAATTATTTTACTTTCTTTGCTCTGTCCCCAAGAGAGTCTACCACCTTAAATTTTACAATTCACTTTAAATTAAAAAAATTTACCTCTCCAATCGCATGAATCGCCTCTACTGCCAACTCAAAAGAAGGGTCCACAATTTCCTTATCAAAAATAACAAGTAAACCATCGCCTTGAAGACAACCTAAATTTTATATAAAAAATATATTTTTTCTTAAAAAATTCAAATTAGGGTTAGACACAACCTGGCTTAAACACAAAAGATTTGGACAAAAATTAACAGTTTTTCTTAAATTTTAAAACCAAAACCTCGTAAATTTACAAAAAAATTTCTTTAAATATTACCCCAAAATAAAACCGGTATTTAACTAAAACTCAAAACCGAGTTCTTTAAATGAGGCCAGTAGCCAGGATTTTTAACGGGGAGCCTAAAGGGGGAAAATTTTTCTTCACCGAAGGCGCCAAACATTTTGATTTTTAGCGGCAGGCGAAACTTTTGAGAATTTTAGAAGGCCGTAAGATAAAAAAAATCACTTTTTTGCCCAAACCCTTCCGCAAATTTTTTGCTTTTCCCCATTTCGAGGGGAATTGCCCCTGGCTACGGGCCTGCTTTAATTTTAGCATTAACCAAAAACTGGGACCGGCTAATAACCAGTTGTGTCAATCCGAATTCAAATCCTCTTACCATAAAATTTTTTATCCAAAATCATTTGACTCAATTTCTTTTCAACCAAATCACGATTCAAACCAACACATTTAGAGACATGCTCAATTTGAACACAAGAATAAGGCTGGATTAAACGAGAAAGTTCCTTTTCAAACATTGTATCAGAAATTGAAGAAAAATGTTTTTGGACAACAGGATCTTCCATTAATTGATCTCCATACTTGGAAAAAGTCTAAAAAATAGAGGGAAGTTGAGTGAATAAAAAATCAAAAAAAACCTCGTTAAATTCCTTCAAGGATCGCTTCTTTGCAGCATTGGCAAGTGCCTTCATTGCATCAGTTTCGGGACCGGAATATTTTGAAATAGTTTTACCAACCAAAATACTGTTTACTTCATCAGCATTATCTGTCATAATCTGAAAATTTTGTGAAAAAATATTAAATTGAATTTGAAATTTAAATATTCCATCTAAAAACAGTTAAAATATTTCTCGCTATTTACAATTAAAAGGGAATTCGGTCTAGTTCTTATCGACCAGAGATCTAGCGACCGATTCACGGAATCGTGAATTTATTTATTTATCGTCGCTAGTTCCCTGTATTTACCAAAGTGGGTCGGGTTTAAAGAAAAAGGTTGGGCTAAGTTTCGGATCCATTTTTAAAAATTTTCTTCGAATCGTATTTTGGGTCGAATAGTCCTAATTTAGAGCACCGACCGTTACCTGCTACCTTGCGAAGCATAAAAACCCAAAAACAAAAAGAAAAATTTAAGCTAACCTTACTAAGAAGCATGTACTTAAGTGCATTCTGTGCCATTTTGCTGTCATTCACAGAATCAAACGCTTCGAAAGCCTCATAAAAATAAGAAAAGGCTGTCTTGAAATCGTGATCCTCAGCTGCGTGTAAAATTCCAGACTGGAGGTCGAGTTTTGCCTATTAGAAAATTTTTAAAAATAAAAAACAAAGCAAACTTACTTGCATAGCAGGAGGAGTATATTTTGAATTGGCAATGGTACGTGCATTTGTTAGAGAGGCACGAGCTTTTGTGAGGTTTGAAAGATAATAAAAAGCCTAAAAATAAAATTAAAAAAAAATTCAAAAAATAAAAGTATAGATCGGAATTTTGGAAAAACCGGGTCCGGGTTCTGAAGGTTGACCGGGAAGGACACAGACCGGGAATTCTCGTTCCCGGTTTCATGCCGGTTGCTTCAAAAAAAGCCGGAAAAGGGGCCCGAAAACCGGGTCCCGGATCAGTTCCGATCTCTAATTAAAAGAATACAATGCTCTCTTCCAACAAAACATCAACCAACAATTCCTTGTCATCAATTTTTTTAAGTTCTTTGACGAGTTCGGAAGCTAAAAAATGGATATTGAAATAATTAGAAGAAAAAACCTAAAAGAACTGATTGACTAAAATTCTTCTCTCGATTTAATAAATTAACAAGATGAGCTTGAAATGCTTGACGAAGGAAAGTTTTGTTTTCATTTTTGGCTAATTCAATTTGTTCTTTGCATTTGTCAAGCTGAAATGTGAAATTGATTGAAATCAAAGAGAAAGATTACCGTCAAATCTGGCCTATTTCGAATTTGAAATAATGAAGCGGTCATTTTTATGAGATAAAATTTGAATATCAAACGCTGAAAAATTAAAGTTTATAGGATAAAAAAGTCAAGAAAAATAAGGAAATTCTAAGCAAAATTTAAATTTATTCTGAAAAATATTGTGGCGTTCTGTATTAAATTTTCAAAATGGTAACTTTCAAATTGGTAAAATTATACTTAATCTATTCTCCTCTTTTCATTGTTTTGTTTATTTTTTCTTTTTGTTTTTACTAAATTTTGTTATTGACATCGGGAAAATCGCATTCACGGGTTCCCCTAACGTGGTTTTTTTTTCAAAATTTTTGCGTGACAGGATCCCGCAGGATTAATCCCATAACTTCCTATAATTCCGTTTGTCGCTTAAAAGGCGGGATTTCGGGACAGGATTCAGCAAAATCCTGTACGGGATCCCGTCCCGCGCCGATTTCTACTTGACATTATTTTTATTGTATTTCAGATTTGTTAAACAAGATACTTTAATTGTGCGTTACAATGGTCGTTGGAAAACAGGTTAATTCTTTTAAATTTTATCGAATTGATCTTTTAATTTTCAGAAAAAGTCCACAGAAAATATCAATGCTCGTCTCGCCATGGTTACCAAATCGGGCAAGTATTGTTTGGGCTACAAGCAAACGTTGAAGACTCTTCGTTCTGGAAAGGCTAAACTTGTTATTATTTCGAATAATACTCCAAGCCTTAGGTTTCTTTTGGTATTTTCTGATGAATTTGACTTTTCTCATTTTAGACGCAGTGAGATCGAGTATTATTCTATGCTGGCGAGAACTGGTATTTTTAATTGATTTTTAGTGGGAGTCCATGCCCTGTTTTAGTGGGAGTCTATGAAGCCAGCCAACAGGCTTCAATGGGAGTCCATGCCCTGTTAAAAGTAGAGACCAGTATTTTTAAAAGAACCGGTATTGGGAAAAATGAAATTGTAGCAGAAGTTTCTCGGTCGGGACTCGGAACCGGGAACTCCGATCCCGATTTCATCCCGGCATCTTCAAAAAAGCCGGGAAACGGGACCGGGTCCCGATCCCGTTCCAGTCTCTTGTTAGAAGTCGACTCACATTTTTGGGATCCATTAAAATAATGGCCCAATACTTCTATTAAAACCTTTACGGTATTTTATTTTCAAGGTGTTCACGAGTATCATGGTAACAATATTGAGTTGGGAACCGCTTGTGGAAAATTGTTCCGCGTTTCAATGCTTTCCATTACCGATCCTGGAGATTCTGACATTATTCGAAGCATGCCGACTGAAGCTTAAAAATGATGTTAATTATGGGATTAAATTGTCGTTTTTTGTTAATTTTCATGGAAGAGGAAAATGAGATAAATTGTTAATTTTTATTGTTTTGTGCAGGCCCGTAACTAGGATTTTTTTTCGGGGGGGGGGAAATTTTATTGCGCCAAATTTTTGGCGCCGAAGGCGCCAAAAATTTTTATTTTTAGCGCCGCAGGCGAAAATTTTTTTAATTTTAGAAGGCCGTAGGCCAAAAAATTCACTTTTTCGGCGCCGCAGGCGCCAAAAATTTGATTTTCAGCGCCGCAGGCGAAAATTTTTTGAATTTTGGACCTCAAGAAGCCAGATTTCGTCCTTTTTTAGCGCCGCAGGCGAAAATTTTGAAAATTTCGAAGGCCGTAGGCCAAAAAAATTCACTTTTTTGCCCCAGCCCTTCCCCAAATTTTTTCCTTTTTCCCATTTCGGGGGGGGGGGGGGGAATTCCCCCCCTCACCCCCCCCCCTGGTTACGGGCCTGGTTTTGTGTATTTTTATTTGAGGCTTTTTTGCAATTATTCTCCTTGTTTTATTTAAATTTTTTGGCGTTTTTTCTTTAAAAAATCTTTGGTTTAGGCAATGAGATGTCCGTTTATTATTGGTGTAGCAGGAGGGACGGCTTCAGGAAAGGTTTGGACAAGCTCCTTTTCACTTTAAAAATGTCTTATTTCTCATACTTTTAGTCAACTGTTTGTTCTAGAATTATTGATAGATTAGCCTTGAATGGAGGGCAGAAGAGAGTAGTGGCTATCTCACAGGTTTATTTTTTCGAGTTTTCATGAAGTTTTTGTCTCTTTTTAGGATTGCTTCTACCGCGATCTTGTAAATCATGATGAATTTTTACGAGCATTGAGAGGGGACTTTAATTTTGACCATCCCGATGCTTTTGAACATTCATCAATGCTTCAAACTTTAAAGAACTTGAAGCAATACAAACCTGCTCAAATACCACTATACGATTTTAAAACTCATTCAAGGTTGAATTTATTTTTTTTATTTGGCCTGATACTGGTTAAGTAATGAAATTTCTCCACTCAGAAATTGTCAGATTATTTCTGATTAGGTATAACTAGGGTCTCACAAAGCATGCAACTTGAGTTTGAGTCCCTTCACTTTTTCATGTGAGATATAACTTGATGCGGAAAATAAATGTTTGAGCGAATGATATAAACTGGAAAGGGACTAAACTATCAAGTTTGTATGTTTTATGAAGCTCTAATTATGACATTGATATATTTCTTAATAGTCTTTATAATCCTTATAAAAGATTTAAATTTAGAATTGGTTGGCGTGATTTAGACGCAGCTGATGTCATTCTCGTCGAAGGAATTTTAATCTTTTTTGATCAGGTGTTTGATTGTTTATAAAATTTTTAAGAAATTTCTTCAGGAATTGAGAAGCATGTTTGATCTCAAATTGTTTGTTTATTTTTCTAATTTTCATAAAATTTTTTCAAAGATTTGTTGATACCGATCCAGACATTAGATTGGCTAGAAGAGGTTTATTTTAATTTTAAAATTTAAAATACAATTTTATTTTCTCAAAAGTTGAACGGGATACAACAGAATGGGGACGTCCGCTTAATTCTATACTTCATCAATACCTTACTTTAGTCAAACCGGTATTTTTTTTTGAATTTTTAAAAAAATTGATTTGAATTTTTTCGTTATGGAAGTCTGTGAGTACGAGACTTATGTTCTTTACTTGAGATATTCATGACTCAATTTCCTGACTCAAAACTTTTTTGGTGATTTTAAGAACCCAAATTTTAGACAATTTACAGATTACAGAAAACCCCCAAATTTTTTTTCTATAATTTTTCTTAAATTTTTTGAGAGTTTTTGTTTTGATTGTTGAAAAATTGTCTGCCTTGAATATCTTTTTGGTCGACATTGCTACAAATTACTCCCAGAAAATATTTTTCTTAAATTAATTTTTAAATTTTTTTTACTTTTTTTGCTTATTTTTAAGAATTAAAATTTTCTTTTTTTTCAAGGCTTTTGAAGATTTTTGTCTTCCAACAAAAAAAATATGCTGATGTAATAATTCCACGTGGAGCAGAAAATAATGTAGCTATAGAATTAATAGTTCAACACATTCAAGATATATTGAGAATGCCTTCACCTACAAATCGTTCAAAATCGAGAGAAATTGATGAAAATGGAATTGAAAATAATTTTAAAAATACGGAGAAGTAAATGCTTTTTTTTGGAAGGTTAAAGTTTAGAGAAAATTAGCATAATTAAAAAAGATTTCATTTTTTGAATAGAAAAAACTTCAATTATATATTTTTTAAAAATACTTTTTTGAATTTTCTCAATTTTAAATGACTGACCAAACAAAAATTTTTTTTTCCGTTTCCTCGGTGGATGGCTAGAAGGGAAATGGAATTAAAAATGAAAAAAATCCGTTCCGATTCCCTAAAATTGACAATTTATTTTTTATATCCTCTAGAAGATTCCTGATAGCTAGGGAGACTTTTAAGGTTTAGGGGAGACATTTGTTGTTATTTGTTGTTGGGAGGCATTTGTTGGGGAGACACGTTTGTGGACACTCGTTTGTTACCAGCTTAAAAAAATTTTTTTTGGAAAACTCCAAAATTTCTCTCAAAATTAAAATTCCTAGTAAGGATTAATTAAATAAAAAAATTTTTTTATTGGTCAGTTAGGTATTTAACCTTTTTTTAAAATTTATCTATTTAGCCCAATACTTGTTTTTTTGTTGTTAGTTTTATTTGCCCAAAACAATTTTTGTTAGTTTTTTTTGAATTAAATATATTTAGAGCTTAATATCCTTTAAATTATGTATTATTTTTTAAAGTAAAGAAAGACTTAAAAATTATTTTTTTTAAAAATTAGATTAAAAAAATTTAAAAAAATTTTTTTTTACCAGTTACCCTTATATGGCCGCCTTTAATTATTAGAAAATTAAAAAAAAATAACTGAAGACCAGCTCAAAGAAAAATGGATGATTCTGTTCGGGAAAATACTGGCCGTCCTTGTAAAGCTTGTTTTAGTTGGGAAGATATGCTCAAATTTACAAGCAAAACAAAAGAAAAATTAACAAAGGATTCAACAGATAAAGAAGAAACAAGAACAAATTGGAGTAGTAGAAGAAAACAACAACAAACGATAAAACATAGAAGAGAGGATTGCCCGTTGGATAAGGACCAATTAGGAAGGTGAAAAATAGATTATTTTTAGAAAAAATTTTTTTTTTGAAATTTTATTAGCGCTGAAGGTGTACTGATTAGGTGTACTGCTGAAGGTGTACTGATATATACCGATACTGATTATATTTTTCTGATCATTATATTTTTATCTTTTTCACCGATACATGATTTTAAAAATGTTTCACAAAAACTATTCCTTCACCAAGATTAATAAAATTAAAAAAATATATATTTTGGAAAACAGTATTTTTTGAATACCAAAGAGAGCCGGCTTCAGATCAAGCTAGAAAAAACAATCTAGAATCGGCCTACAAAAAATTCTCAAAAATGAGGGGACTCTTTCCATTACTATTATATTTTTAAATTTACTAGTGTTTCGATCAAGGTTAAAATTTCAGAAAATTTTTCTAAAGAATCCCAAGCCTTTAAAATACTAATGTCTAAAAAATGTTTCAGATCAACATGGAATTTATTACATACAATGTCTGTTTATTACCCGGATGATCCAACAGAAAAAGAGAAACAAAACACAAAAGATTTTCTTACGAGCCTTTCTAGGGTGAAAAAAATTTTTTAAAAATTTGAAGAAATTTTTTTCGTTTAAAGACCTATCCCTGTGAACATTGTGCTGCTGACTTTCGCGAAGATTTAAAAAAGAACCCTCCAATTTTAACAAATAAAAAATTATTTTCTCAGTGGATGTGTGAAGCACACAATAGAGTAAATGAAAAATTGGGAAAGAATTTGTTTGATTGTAATAAAATAATGGAAAGATGGTTTGATGGGTGGAAGGATGGATCTTGTGATCCTTAAGAGAGGGAAGAGAGATTTTTTGGGTGTTTAAAAATTGCTGATTAAAACACATTAGATTTTTAGTTTTATTTTATGTTATCAATTTTTGTTATCAAGTTTGCAAATCACAAATAAATTATACATAAATCCTATTTTATTTTATGAGGAAATTTTGGAGTTGGTTAATTATCGTTACTAAATCCTTGTAGTAAATTTGGTAATATTTTGATCATGACTATGTTGATAGAATGATTAAATATTATGATTATCATGACATATATTCTGACAAGGAAAACTTAGTTGGTACGCTCCTATTGACTTTGAGGGGTTTTTTTGGTGTTTGATTGAGATGTCGTCTTTGTACAATCTCTACTTTCCAAACTAACTGATTGACTAATTAAAATTTATTATTAAACCTTTAGAAAATAATTGAAAGGTAATAGGACTATTTACTAATTAAATAATATTTCATATAAATAATTGTTTTCATTCAAAATTCTTGCTCTATTACATAACCTGTGAATATTTTTTAGGCAAATATAAGCCTTTAGAAAAAATTTTTTTTCAAAATTCCTATTATTTTATTTAAAAAATCTTTTCCTCTTTTCTTTAAATATTTTCATTTTTCTTCATTTATTATTGTTCATTAACCCCTTCCCTCCCCTTCCCCCCTCCAAAAATATTTTTTTTATTTTTTCTCCCCTTACTGTTCATCCTATTGTTATTTTTATAGACCCTCTTTTCTCTCTTCTCGGTCCTCAACCCATCAACACCAGGGCTGTGCGTCATGGCGTTTGGCGTTTGGCGTTTTGCGTTTTGGCGTTAATTTTCGCTGATTTTTGGCGTTTTGCGTTTGGCGTGATTTTCATTTTTTGGCGCGCCAAACGCCAGAATTATACACCCCTAATGATGGAAATTTTTTAAAATAATTGGGAGAAAGGATGATCGAGAAAGAACATTTTTCTGCATACCGTCATCTAAAATTCTCAAAATTTTCGCCTGCGGCGCATAAAAAATGAAGAAATCTACTGCTTGGACTACCAAAATTTTCAAAATTTTCGCCTGCGGCGCTTAAAGGAGGAAGCCCTTATCTTAAACTAATGGATGGTAGAAAAAACTTTAGTCCCGTCAATCATTTACTCTCTTCATGACCTCTGTTATACTCATTACTATTTTTATCCCTCATATCCACATTAATCTCAAGTTCTAGGAATTTCCTATTTTTTAAAATTTTTTAAAGGATGAATATCGGCTTCTTTGCTTCCAAAATTCGCAAAAATTTCGCTCCGGTGATAAAAAAGGATGAATTCGGACTTCTGGGAATCTTAAAAATTAAAAAAATTTCGCCTGCGGCGCTAAAATGAGATGAACAGTGGTTTTTAAGTCTTTATAGACTCTAAAAATTTTGGCGTTTGGCGTTTGGCGTTTGGCGTTTTGGCGTTGATTTTGGCCGATTTTTGGCGTTTGGCGTTTGGCGTGTTTTTAAAATTTGAAAAATTGGCGTTTGGCGTTTGGCGCGCCACGCGAAAATTTTGGCGCACAGCCCTGATCAACACACAAAAAAATTTGGCTTTAAACATGTTTTAGTATGTGAAGAATTATCTGACAGGTCAATCTGTATTTTTCTGAGGGAGAGAGAGACCTCTCTAAATACATTAATTTACTCGTTTATTTATTACCGTACATGCCTCTCCTTTAAAATTGCTAAAGGCAACAAACATTAATCTAATAATTCAAAAAATCTAATAATTAAATAGAACAATAGAAATTTAAAGTTTCTAGGTAAAATAAAGAATGTGGAGATTTAAAAGATATGAGGAAACGTTTTTTAAATTTTTGTCCGCAAATTTCAAACTTGTCCGCAAATATTGTCCGCAAAAATTGTCCGCAAAAATATTGTCCGCAAAAAAATCTTTGTCCGCAAATTATTGCAAAATCTTTTTTAAAATTAAAAAATATTTGGGAATTTAGTTCAACCTAGATATCAGATCGAATTCATTTCCTTAAGTCTATGAACGTATTTCCTCAAAATACCGCTTACTGAAAAGCAGAGACTAGGCAGGTAGGGTACGAGAATTGGGAATCGTATCTTGAAAAATCACAAGTCTCGATAACCGAGATTTTTCTATGATATTTCGTCTTGGTCTGATCACTAGTGAGAAGTTGATATCTCCGCGGGATTGAAGTCTAAACTTTTTTAAAAGGATTCGTAACGAGTTAAAGCACTTCGAGTCGAGTTCCTGATCAGGAGCGGGCGCAAGAGATAATTCCCAAAAACTTTCATTTTTCTTTCATTTTCAGCGCCGCAGCGGCAAAAATTTTGAGAATTTTGGAAGGCCGAAAAACCAGATTTCGTTCAAATTTGTCCTCAGATTGGGCCCCTTCGATGGTAGTCCGCAAATTTTCTTTGATTTTTAAGTTTATTAAATTTATTTTTTAATAACCACAAACACATATTTTTCCCATTTTTCTTCCATTATTCTCAAAAAAAAATTATTATAATATCCAAAGCTATTTTAATGACTCTATTTTTTGTTTAGTTTTAATGCGGGAATATTACTTTTTATATTTATATACCGCTTTTTATTAAACTTTGCCACTATTTTTTATTCAAGGATGATGAGTGGATAAATGTCTTTAGTCATTAAATGAATCAAAAAAGACGAAAAATATTTTTATTTTCAAGAAAAAAAACTTTTACGGCAATCCCCGCAATTGAAAAATAATAAAAAAAAGCGGCAAAAAATAGAAAAAATAAATGAATCATTTTATGGAGTACAAGGTGTTTAGGGGAAGATAAAAAGAATTTTTTAATGAAAGTACAAGGTCTTTATTACGGCAAAATGTGGGGAGGAATAAAAGAGTGTGTTTGCGCATTAAAAATAAAATTTAGGAGAATAAAAGAGAGTAAAAGAGAGTAAAAGTCGAATGTAAAGTTTAGTGGAAAAACATTTAAATTTTTTAATTTTTAAAGAAGTACAGTCAAATCTTGACTTTATTTTGATTGTAGGACTGTCTTCTTCAGTCATGCTTGATTGTAGGACTGAAGAAAGGAGTTATATATATCGAGAGTCATTTAAAAAAATCAAGGGGCAATGAAGATGTTCGTTATTTCGAGAGATATCGAGGTTCGATTGTATATAAGGGATTCCAACTACTTACAGGAGAACTGGGATTTGCAAAGATTAAAGACCGTAACGAGATAAGATCTCATCGAAAATCTCGGTTTTCGAGATCGAGAATTTTTCAAGATCTCGATTCTCGTACGACACTCCCAGCCCGTTCTCTTGTAACACTTAATTCCCTCCATTTAAAGCGTGATTCACGGACTATGATAAAGCAGTCACCATCTGTCGACAGGCATCGAGCTTGGGCCTCTCGAAAAAAATTTTTTTGACAAATAAATGTATAGCGGAGGGTTTTAACAGAAAATGCATTTTGAGAAAAGGACCCCCAAACTTTAATTTTTTTGGGATTTTTAATCTATCCTCAAAGTTTTTTCCAATAAATAAATATTTATGCCGTCCTCATATTAAAAAATTTTTTTCTTCCTCCAAAAAAATTTTTTTTTGAAACGCAAGTTAATCACAAACAAAAGTAAATAAAAAGAAAAAGCGGTACAAAATGATTGAAAAAGGAAGGGATTAAATAGTTGAATAATAACAAAAATGGCGCCAAAAAATTTTAGAAAAATGAGTGCGCAATGAAAACCGAGAAGCGTAGAAAGGCAATCTTTTTTGGATAAAAATGGAAGAAGTGCCGACGATTTAAAAATTCCTAAACAAATATTTTTAGGGTTCTTTGGCAATTATTTAAATAAAATGATATATTTAAGTAAATAAAGAGATCAAAAATAATGAGAAAAAATTCGTTTAAGGAACATAGGGACAAGGAAAAACATTTCTTCACTCACTCAGAAAATAGAAAAAAAGCTTCTTGGAAGTCTCAGTAGAGACTTCCAAGACAGAAAATTTTCCAAGACTCAGGACCAATACCAAGACCAAACCGAAAAACCCCAAGAAAAGTCTGAGTCACGACTAAAGACCAAGTCTTGGAAGTCTCTACCAGTCAGTATTTTAACAAGAGACTGGGCTAGAGGGTTGAACGAGATTCGAGATTGATATCTCAAAAATTGACATTTTAAGCTTACTTTTTTTAGAATTTGAAGTCATTTGATAATCTGATAAAATAAAAGGGATGAAATAGTGCCGTGATAAGTGACCAGAAACAAAAACGAACATAAAATCCTTCCATTTTAAAACCCTTCCATAAAATCCAGCTTTTATTTTTCGCCGTAATATGTACCTATGTTGAATCTCGATATTGTTGAATCTCGATATTTTTTCGGTATAACGTCTACGCCCTTGGACTGAAAAAATCGTACATTAAACTGAAGTGTATAGATTAAAAGGAACACACATTATAACTAGATTTGACAGTAATATGAATGTTGCATTTATAAATGTTTTAATTCAAAATTATTTACTGGGGGGGGGGGGAGGTGTTGGAGAGCAAACGCGCAATGTAACAAGGCTATCTTTTTCTATCGTTTGTTTAAAATATACAAATCTAAATAAATATAATTATTCACACTTTTGTTTGATTTTATCTTTTCGTCACACTTTTCTAGAAAAATAAAGAGAGGGAGAGAGTTGGCTGATTTATGAGGACAAGTGTAGGAGGTTTAAGGGGAAGGAACGCGCAACTTGAACTTTTTTGTTTATATATTTGAATATATTGTTAGGCTTTAAATTAATTTGGAGGCTGGTATGTCTCTTTCTAGATGCCTCCTTATAATGCACGCCCTTGTGGAGGTAAACACGTATAATAACATGAAGTCTGCATTAACGTGGGGAAGTATGGCTTAGACTGTAGCCAACCCCATTTACTTCTATTTTACTTCTATTTTTCAATCCTCTTGTAGAGTGTGCTCATATTAGAGAGTGTGCTTCTATTGGAAGGTGTGCTTATATAGAAAAATGTGCTTCTATAGAAAAACAATTAATTGCCTCCACTTAAAGTGTGATTCACATTGATAAGGCAGTACCCATCTGTCGCCAGCCATCGAGCTTGGGCCCCTCGAAAAAAATTTTTTGACTAGTAAATGTATAACGGAGGGTTTGAAAAATATTTTGCTATTCGAGGGTATAACGACAGTTTAGGATGCAGAATGTCTTCTGACTTGCATATTCTATGATACTAAGTCTTATGGGTTCATTAATGTGACCTGTTCAAAAAAAGTATATCCATTTATCCTAATTTTCCTTATTAGCATAGTTTGACTTTTTTTCTTTTTTTTTCATTGCTTAATCGTCCCTAAATTATCCAAAATTATTCCAAACTCATTAACTCAAATTCATTGCACAACTTAAGATATAATTAAATATTATCTACTGTACCCTTAAAATCCCAGCAATAATAAAATTCAAAAATTTTTCTATTAAACACAGTATAATATCGCTAAACAACATTCCATGTGTCCTCCTCATAAAACTACTTATAATTTTCAAATATCCACTGACACTTAGTCCTTGACTTTTAAATAAGAGGGAAAATAATTTTCTTGAGAGAAAAAATAATTAAACAGATTTTCCCTTTCTTTACCCTTTTAATAGCTTTAAAATGATTCTTCCCCCTCCCTACTTTTTAAGAAAAAAAGTAAAAATTAGGGGCGGGCCACACACGCTGAATGGGCGTTATTTTTATTGCCCCACGTCTGTTGTTTCTAGCTACACAGCTGTTGCTTCTTCCCCCTTCCCTTCTTCTTCCATTTCTTCCTTCCTTCCTTCTTCCCCCTCTTTCCCCCTTCCTTCTTTCCCTTTTTTCTTCCCTTCTTCCTTCCTAGTTTCTTCAAATCCGAGGGCAATTACTTTAAAAGAAGGGAGAGAATGGGGTTGAATGGATTCTCAAGCATTTAAAAAATATTTTTTTGACTTTTAGTAACGTGGGGGTAATCCAAAGGGGAAAATGAAGAATGTAAGGGGGGAAGAGGAAGAAAATAAGATTTTAAGATTTTAATTTTCTGTCCATTTACTTTACTTTTTTTATTTGCTTATTTTCTACAGTACAATGATTTTAACAAAAGAATTTTTGACAAGTTTTGGAATTTCGAAATTTTTTTTATTTCTGCTTACCTCCCCCAACAGTTCTTTAAATTAACCTTTTATTAAGTAAAAAGACTATTAAAATCCTTAGCTTATAAAATTATATTTTTAAAAAATGTTAATGCCAGCAACAACTTCGTATCCTTCCCAATTAACACTATTGAATCCCCCGCCTTTTTATTCACAAGGTATTTTAATTAAATTGAATATTATTACTAAAATATGATTGAAATTAATAGGATTGTCGGTTCTAAAAAAATTTCTTCGAGTATTTAAAATAAATTCTGAAAATTAGGTCTAGAAGGGAATTGCTCAAATTCATTGCCCCATGAAAATCTAATTGCTAATCCTCCAGTGCCTTGTCCTGCCCAACAATTATTTTTGGTGCATTTCCTGATCCCGGGCTTCGATCCACGGGAACGGGAAAAACGTGGAACGAGGGGTTTCCCGTCCCGATCTCCGATAGTCCATTCCCCGTGATCCCCTTTCACCGCCAAACTTCTCTTTACGGTCGGGGCCACCCCTAATTTTGAGTGATGAAGGGAATCCTCCTTATTCTTCTTTTAAGTAACCGAACCGCCAATTCTACATATTAAATTTATTTAAAGAAATAAATAATTCATCAATCCAACAACTAGTGCCAAAACAACAACCTTCTTCTCCCTCTCCCCAATTCCCAAATAATAAATTAATAATGCCCCAATTTATTAATTCCTTTAATGAAAAACCGCCCCTCACCCCTTCAATGTATTTGTGGCCGCAGGAATTAAATTATGATTGCGGGAAAACAGACTTGGCACAGATTTTTGGATTTTTTGAAAATAATGAAATTAAATATAATCAGCAACAACAAAACTTACAAAATATTCAAAAAAGGAAGCAGAGGTGAAAAATACAATAAATTTATCCTAACGGAAAGGATTCTCCATGGGATTTAGTTAAGTAATATAGAACTCTAATCCCCCCATTACATGTGTTTTCTCGTGATTTGATGTCATCTTTATTAAATTTTTAAAAAAAACTATATGGTAGATATCGAAGATTGTATCGTCCCATTTCCAGAAAAGTGGGAATTTTCTGGAATTTTCTGGAAATGGAACAGCACAAACCCAAAATCAGAAAAATCCTCCTAGTTTGTCAATGATTTTTAGGGTTTTTTTGCAGTAGGCACAATCTCAAAATCAGAAAATCGTGAATTGAGAATTCCAGGGATGAAGGGGGGAGTCAAATCTCGTCGATTTTCGACAAAGCTCGACTAGATACTATGTAATACACCCTCAAAACATTGTTATAATAGCCTGTAGTTGAAGGCTAGAGCGGGCTATTTGGGGGGGGGGGCTATCCACAAATGTTCCCTTAATTTCGTAATTATTTTTATTTTTAATCTTTTAAAGTTCATTAAATGGAAAATTATCTCTAAGAAGTACAGAAAATAATTTAATTAATTTAACTAAACAACAAAAAAACAACCAATCCCCAAATACAAATTACAATAAACAATTAAAAAGAATAGTAGCAGTAGATGAAAGAGCAGGAGTAGGGGGTGGAGGTGGTGGGGGCTGTAGAAGATATAAAACACCAAGTCCTCAATTATTACGATTAAGAAGGGAAGTAAGTTTATGAAGTTTAATAGTGGATATCCATAAATAAAGTATTCTCAAAATCCTTTGATAAAGGAGGATAACAAATCTGAATCGAGGGGAAAGAGAGGGGGGGGGGAGATTATTATTTAGATATTGGGGGAATTGTGATTTTAACCTGTTCCTAGTATAGATGGTGTGGAATAGAAATTGACAGGCTTGAGAAAAATGTCGTGTCGGGTTTTCAAAATTCTCTTAGAATCGGGTTGGAATCGAAAAAATTTCGGGTAGCTTGACCCAGCTCTGCGTGTTTTTTGTTCAAAGAATCAAAGCCGTCCCAGTCTAAGAACTAAGAAATTTTGAATTCAGATTACATTAAACTCTATTTTCCTTATTTTATCACGGGATTCGAAAAACAGACAGACTAATGTATTTATTATTTATTTTTTTATTAAAGAAAAAAAATTTTTTAAAGGCAGCCAATGCCCGTGAGAGAAGACGAATGAATCAATTAAACAAAGCCTTTGATAAAGTAATATTTTATTTAAAATTAAATAATGCAAGTCGATTTTTGGGTCCGAAAATTTCCTATCTTATAATGAAGGATCTGTTAAATCGTGGTGTAGGCAGCTCCTCTCACTTCATGGCCAACTACATTTAGTCGAATACCGCTAATACGACTTCTGTGATAACACGATAGTTTCATTCATATGTCGGCTCACTTCGGTCCCAAAGGTGATGAGGTATTAACGGGATCCGACGGGGTAGCTAACTCCGAGGGTGTCTGAAAATGTGATTCGATTTTATCTTTTTAAACAATTTTTAACTAGCTTCGCAATGTTCTCCCCCCAAATTTTGAAGAAGGAAGGCGTTTAAGCAAATTCGAAACTTTATTGGGTGCACAAGAATATATAATTAAATTGAGTGAATATTTAGAAGAATTAAAAAAAGGCAAAAGAATTGACAAATCTTTTTTAAAGGAATTAAAATAATTTTTAAATTTAATTTCTTGATAAATTTTATTTTTCCTTCACTAACGCTCTGTACTTAAATAAAAGTCGCTTTGGGTTTTGCGACAGAAAAATGGGCCCAAAAATTTATCAATCATTAATTTAAGAAAATCTTTTCCTATTGCTCTAAGGGAACTTTTAATTAATTCTGACACCAACATATGTAATTGAAAGTTGGCATTAATTCAAGGAATACATTTTCCAGCTCGACATGCGTCTTTAGCCTATTATTATTTACCAACTTTTATCCTAATCCCACACTTATGCAGTCAAATTTCGGTTCAAAGAGTGAAAAATTAGACATTTCTACAAATAACATGGCTCTTGTTTTCAGTATCTGGGTATATTACTTAGAAGGGCCAACATACATTACTCCTATATTCAGGGACTACATTTTCCAGCTCAACATATGTCTTCAGCTTAGTACATATACATTTGTGTTCTACAATTTATATCACGTTCCTCCACTTAGTGTGTAATTTTCAGAAATTTCTAAACATAACAGTATCTGAGTAGTATATTTCTTAGAAGCGATGTAGATCCGGATTTCCGGAAATTTTTGGTTCAGATATTGGCTGAACTTTCCACAGGATCTGCTAAAATATCCTTGCCATATCCGTGGCGGGCCTGGGCTTGAAACTACAATAAAAATATTATTTTTCCCAGTAATATCAAAAATAATTTTTGATTTCACACTTGATTAAACCCAAATAGCATAACCGAATATTTTATAAATAAAGGCATCTAATTTGTGGGTAGCCATTAAGAAAAAATAATTAAAAATGCCAATATTTTTTATTTTCTCCCAAATAGCTCATTAGAAGGATGCCGGCAAATTACTAAAAAATTCCTTCAAAAAATATTTTTTTTATTAGGCCAGAATCGGTCAATTGCATAATCACTGCAAAAGGCGGCATAATTTTCTTTTTACTTTTAAAAAATAAAAATTGCTAATGAGGAACGAGTAAGCACATAATTAGCAGGTCGGGAATGAAAAAAACTGGAATATATTGGCAAGTATTGGCAAAAAATAGCTGTTGCTATTATGTGGCTTTACTATGAAAATATTATTAGGGATCGGGTTTTAGGCAATCTTTAGCTGGAATTTGGATTCTTAGGTTTTTAAAGTAAATAAAAAGGGAGATGGAGGGGTGTACATTAGTGTTTCGCCATAAGTTCCGGTTGCGGTAGGCCGGAAGTTCCGAAAAAAATTTTTTTTGGGTTTTTAAAATAAATTTTCAAATTAACAGTCATGAATTAATATTAAATTTTAAAAATCCAATAGTTAATTCTAATAAAAAAAGGCTCCCTATTTTTCATTACATGCCACATTCTATAATTAAAATTAAAATTAAAAATCACTTCCTCCCTTATTCCCTCTACAATTCATTTAATTTTATAAAGGCTATACATGGTAAAGCGGCTGGGCTATAGCTAGGTATTTATCTTCTTTAGCCAGCATCTTCTTTAGCCAGCATCTACTTTAGCCAGCATCTTCAGTAGACCGGACTGGTGTGTTAGCCATTACACCACGCCGCCTACTACAAAAAAATTAGAAATGTCGGAAATTAGAAATTTCAGAAATTTCTGAAGTCGAAAGATCAACTAACCCCGAGGAAATGCTTTTAAAAATCTAATAGGCTAGATCCTCGATACCTACCGATCAAACACAACCCTCCCTGAGTAATTTTTGATTGATTATTTGTTGATTGATTATCCATTGATAGATTTTGCACTCCGAGAGTGCCTGTTTATTTTTTTATTTAAATTTTTTATTATCGGATAAAGATATTTTTGGGTAAACATTTTTTTGTTAAGACGATGTTATAAACTGTACATATTTTAAAAAAGGGAATTAGAGATAATGTTACCTAATCATCAAAAATAGAATATTTTTTCAAAAAAATATTCATTCGCCCAAAAAAGATTAATCGCATTTCATTAAATTGAATTTTTAACTAACTTTATATCGCCTCCAGAGACTTATTCTGTCCGAAAAATTTTTAGTAAGGCGAGATGGGGTACAGCCCGAAATGTCGCGCGGCCATAATGTCGCCAAGTCATAACTTGCTAAAAAATTTCTGGCCCTTATCAATTTTGGTACCAATTTCCTTAGCTCGATGAGAGGAATCGTTTAATACTAAATTTGGAAAGATTCGGAAATCTTAAAGCAAGTTATAGCTCGGCGACATTATGGCCGCGCGACATTTCGGGCGTGTCCCGGCGAGATGTTTGGCAGTCAAGTTCATGGACTGGGGACAAGCCCAAGTAACGGCGCAACTCCATAACTTACTGGAAAATTGCTGACCCTTATCCTTTTTGGTACCAATCTCTTTAGCTCGATGAGAGGAATCGTTTACTACTAAATTTGGTATGATTCGGAAATATGAAGGAAGTTATGGCTTTGCGCCGTTATGGCCGCGCGCCTACTTGGTCTGTACCCCATGGACTGACCAGGGAGTAGTGTTAGGCACGGTTCGGTACTACCGACAGTACTACCGGAAAGTGTCAAAAAAGAGAGAGGAGCCCTTTAGTAATGCAAGAGACTTTAATTTTTATTAAAACATAAAAAAGTTTTTCTTGGATTTAAAGAATAAATTTTAAATTTTAAAGTCATCAATCAATATTAATTTTTAAAAATTCAATAGCCAATTCTTATAAAAAATCTTTTTCCTTTAATAAGGCAGAGCTGACAGCTCATATAGGAAGGGAAGGCATTGCATATGTACTTTATATAAAGATGGGGTATAATTTGGCAATCCGGTCCTCCCTTATTCCCTTACAATTTATTAATTCATTTATATACCTACTTATAAATTTAATTATATAATACCTATATTTTATTCTCCCAATAAATTTAAAATTTTCTACTAAAAAAGGATATTTAATGAGAGGTGTGTAGGAACCAGAAGTGAGTTGGAATTCCGATTTCCGACGTTTTTTTTCCTTCCGATTTCTGAAAAAAAATTTAATTTCCGATTTCCGAGTTCCGATTTTTGAGCCAGTTCCGATTTCCGGCTCTTCCGATTTCCGACACCTCTGACTGTTCCGACCCACATCTTTTAGGAACTAGACACGGTAAAATCGTTTTTCCGGGAATTTCTTCCAGCTCGGGAGCCTGTCAACCGAAGAAACTTTTGATATGTTTATATTTATAAAAATATTTAATTATTAAAAAAATTATTTTTTATATTTTTAAGGAAATGTATATCAAATTAATTTTTTACATTTTCTTATTTTTCCTAATTTTTATCAACATCTCCATTGGAAAAAAGTGTAAATGCCCAACAAATATAAAATCCGCTGTCCATTCAAAAAATCCAAAAAAACAAACAAAAAATGCATTGTTTCATCGTCGATTTAAAAGAGGAAATTGTTTTTGTGGAGGAGGAGAGGGAGCTACAGATGATGAAGGTTATACTCGCCGTCCAGGAAAAGAAACTATGAGGGAAGAAATGAAAGTTGAAGAAATTCAAAGAAAGAGCAAAAATGGTAGTAAAAGAGTTTTGTACATTTCCGACAATTTTTTCTTCTCACATGTGCAATTTAATGTAAATTTTTTTAAATTTAAATTATAGTAAACTGGCCAAACCTATTCAAGAAATAGGAAAAGATTGGAAAGGGGACACTAATCTGAGAGCCATTATCAACCTATCGTTTCCATTTTTGCTTTATGGCTCTAGTTTAGGCCCTGCTTTATTTGCTAGGCTGGCAGCAGAGTAAAATCGGAAACGACAAAGGTGCCGTAAATCAAGTCAGAATTCCAGTCACCTCTCTCTGACCGACAGGATGAATTTTTCCTCGGTCTGAGATTTGTCTTACTTCTTTTAGTCCGTATTCTGTTTTTTAGTCCTCAGTTTATTCTATTCAACGATCCACAAAAATTCTATGATCCTTTTATAAAGTCACGGATTTTGTAGGCATATACCGTATTTTTCCCAATAGAAGCGCACGTCCCATTTGAAGCGCACGTCCCAATAGAAGCGCAGTCTACAAGGAGGTTGAAAAATACAAGCGCAGGTCCCATTAGAAGCGCACGTCCTATTATAAGCGCACCCTATGAAATACTTATTTGAGAAATTACTCTGTTACATAGTTACTATTTTATACAAGTATTATTCATTTACATTTATAATAGATTAAGAATTTATACTTTTTTATAAAAATGGATTCTACTTCCGGTTCGGAACTTGATGTTTAGGTATGTAACCGGTGCTATGTTCAAGTAATCTAACCGGTGCTAATGTAACGCACCAGTCATTTGGATGTACATATATCGTGATTTCATCCTTTTTTACCGCCGGAGTAAAAAGTTTATGACTTTTGGAGACCAAGGGCCAGATTTCTTCCTTGTTTACTGTCAATGAAGCGATAAAGAAGCAAGGAGAAATTATGATGGATTTAGAGCATTAACAAGGATACTAGAGATTTTAGAATACAGTGGGATTTTATTGAGGGATTTGGATATCCACTGATATCCATCTCAATTCTCTTCAGCCCTTCCTTTACCCTCCAGATCCATCAATATACCTTTTAATTCTCAGATTCCCTCTAAATCCACTTAAATAAATCTTTTTAAAAATGACGCGAAAATGTCTCGTTGTCCGACTCGATAAAGACAGGCCCGGAAGTGACTCGTTCCGGCCCGACTCGATAAAAACAAGCCCGAAAAAATGCCTCGACCGTCGGCCCGCCTCGAAAACGGCAACCCTAATCTTAATGAAGACAATATAAACGGAATTGAAATTGATAATTCTATATAGATTTAATATTTGTTTTAAATTGCTATGTTATAAAAATTAATTCGCAAGGAGTTGAAAAATACAAGCGCACGTCCCATTTGAAGCGCACGTCCCAATAGAAGCGCAGTCTACGAGGGGGTTGAAAAATAGAAGCGCATGCGCTTCTATTGGGAAAAATACGGTAATATACAAATATTTCATTGATCAAAATTTTTAGACATTGTTAGCCAACATTTTGTCAGAAAAGTATAAATTGGTAAGTTATTTTTACGAATATCTGATAGAAAATGGGCAAAACATGAATGTTGAGGCATTTTCTTACCTTATGGTTTTTTGAAAAAAATCAGAGTTTGGGGCTATTTATAATGCTTTCAAAATTCAAAATCAATTATATGTATATTTATCAAATTCCATTGAATTTGGCCGGCACAATTAAATTTGGACTAAACTTAAATTCGGGCTAAATCTAAATTGAAAAATAAAAATATTTTTGTTTTCATTCCAGGATATGTTAGTTTATACTGATACTGAGGGATTAACAATAGAATCAGATAATTTTCAAATTATTCCTGTTCCAATAAATGAAGAAATATTTCTTCGATTTAAAGTTGAAAATATTGTCCAATATAGAAATAGTGTTCTATATTCTACTATGGGAATTTATGCAGGTGAGTTAAAAAAATAAAATTAATTATTATTTTTGATTTTAAAAAGTATTTTGGATACTTGTGTAGTTTCCCCCATAAGCTCCGCCTCCTTTTCTTCTCTTTTCCTTACTTCTAAAATTAGAAAGAATAATGAAAAGTTTAATCAGACGATCCTTTGCAAATTTATTTATCGCCCTCTTTCTATTAGACTTCGCTACCTGGGTCTATTAGTTGGCATATAACTGGAGTCAATTATAGTTGATTACTTTTTATAAAAATATATTCCATCTCTACAGAGATAATCACAAATGAAAATGGCATTTTTGATCAGCTTCAAGAAAACAAATATGATATTGGAATTGCCGAATTTGCTGTAATGGCTGGATCTTTCGCTGTGTTTGAAGCATTGGGAATTGAAGAAACATTTGATGTTTCTTGTTCTGTATTCCTTCCAGCATATCTTCAATTCCTTGGAATTAATGTTTTGGACTATCAAGTTCCTGGTGATTTATTAATATTTAATTGAATAAGCAAAATATGCATTTTACGGAATGCCTTTGTGGACTGACATTCAGTTATGACGGAGTTTCGGTTCAACTTCCGGTGCCGAAGTGGAACCGTTAAAGTGTTGGAACCGGTTTTAAAGCATTGGGAATTAAAGAAACCTCCTTCCCTCTTACATAATTAAGGCTTTCTTTATCTTACAGCCCTGTTGGGCATATATTAAAAATTTATTTGTTGTTAAGAATACAATTCTGCCAAACCTGGAGATTGGAAAAATGGAATTTGGCAAAAAAACAGAATGGAGAATATAGAGGAACATTTAAAAAGAAACGAATGGGCACAAGCTATTTTCATTGTAGATTCTAAAAAGTATTACAAAAAATTGTTTTATGATCAAGGAATATCTAATGTTAAATTGCCATCAACTCTGGTTGATTTATTTAAAAAAATTAAATATCATTTTTTAAATCAACATCCTCTAATTATATTTAACAATTTTCCTGAACACAATAAATTTGTTTATATTGGAGGTATTACTGTTGAAGATCATCAACTTTTAACTGAAGGAAAACAGTTAGCTGAGAATGAGGTAATTTTAAGAGAATAGTAATAAATTTAGTGATAAAATTAATTTGACTAAATATCCTTACGAAAATTTTGAAGCTTTTCGTACCACCCTAGCTCTCCAAATCAACTTTTTGTCTCACATCTAACCCAACGATCCTTTAATACGCACGGATTATGGTATCCATATTAGGATATACATATACGGCGGATACAGGCGGATATCCGCAGTTATTTAATATCTGTATCCATATCAATGCACAGACAATGAGGTAGAAGACCTGTGCATGGATACGGATATGGATACAGATAATATTAAATAACTGCTGATATCCGCCTGTATCCGCCGTATATACCGAATATGGATACAATAATTCGTGTCCATGCACAGTTCTGAATACGCCAATAAATTTTAAAAACTCTCAATATTAGGGAAAAGCTCTCAATATTACTATTACTTTGTTTAAAATTGTCGGTTCCGGGACGCCCTTGAATGGTTCAATTTAGCTCGTCGAGGCGCAACGAGCCATACTAGGGGCCCCTGCTCCCACTTTGCGTGTTGCCATTTTTCTGACAGATAAATTTTTAAGCCTGACTGCGTTATTCTTGTTACATTTGGAACGGCTGGCTATAAAACCTATCCAATCGAGAAAATGATTGAAGTATTTACACAATTTACTCAGTGTTATTTTCATGTTCGATCAGATAAAACTTCACAATTCGTCAATGGTTATACAACTGAACATCCGCTTCCACAAAAAGAGATATTATGTAAATTTAAATTTATGTATAGTACCCACATTAATTAATTTATTTCAAGCTCAAACCAATACAAAAGTATTTATTTCACATTGTGGGCAAAATAGTGTTACTGAGGTACACATTTCATAAATAAAATATGAATTACTAGAAATGGTCAAACTAGCGACTGAAACGATATCTCATAAAACAAGATTATAAAGCTAGAGATTCTTTGATATATCTCCTCGAAGTTGTCATATCCTCAAATCCGTGCTCCATAAAATCAATTAGAAAAAACAAACAATCATGGTGGATGAATGAGAGCTACGCTCAAACACCCTCACAAAAACTAGAATGACTCTATTAGCTAGTTTACGGCTTTATAATAAAGATTAAAACCGATGAGATATGAAGCAGAAGGTTTTTTGACGAAGGAACATTTGCAAACAAAGTTTGCGGACTTATGGGGGAGATAATACCGTAGTACCAAGAATTTTTTAATTAAAAAAATTTTTTCTAGTCAATGTATGCTGGTGTTCCTTTAATTTGTATTCCAAAATATGGAGATCAAAAATATAATGCTTCGATTGTCGAATCTAAAGGAGTTGGCATTTATGTGGATTATGAACAATTAAAGGGCTCTACTGATGAACAATTAGAGGATTCTACTGAATCTCTCAGAAGCGCTCTTTATCAAATATTATATGACGAGTATGGAAATTTTAACAGTAAATATAGTAAGAAGGCTGAAAAGATGAGAAAGAATATTCTTCGAAATTATGAACGTGAAACAATGAAAGATAAATTTTTGGGTAAATTTTAGGTGGTATATTTTAGTGAAGGAATTTGTATAGCAAAAGAAGAAAAAATTGGAAGAGATTTTTTGGGGTTATTTGGGTTAAAAAAATTATTTATTTATCTATTTAAAGGGGTTGCCGCGTTTTTCTAAAATACCTACTTTGTATTAAGAAAGGTAGTTTTCTGTTAGTCCAATTCTTGGAACCATAATTACCGTATTCCCTTGGGGAATTATTTTTTCAACACTTCCCTGGCATGGGGGATTAATCGAGGGAGGGGAATTATTCGAGTTTTGGCATTTGAACGTGCAGTAGGGTATTTGGAGGTGGGGAATTATTGTTTCAACCCTTCCCTGCCAGGGTTGCCGCCCGAAACCCGAAACCCGATACCCGAAACCCGAAACCCGGCCTTTTTTTGTACCCGAAACCCGATACCCGAATTGAAAATTTTTCAACCCGAAACCCGAAACCCGTACCCGATATTTTTTCCAACCCGAAACCCGTGACCCGAAATTGGTTAAAACCCGAAATTTCTACCCGAAAACTAGGCCCTACCCGATTTTTTAAAATAAATTTAAAAAATTATAGAAAGGAAAAGGGAAAGGAATATTTATAATTTCCTCCATATTTACGTGTTCATCGGTGGCTGAATGGGTAAGGCGACTGGCTCTATATTTTAATTGGGGTCGGTTCGAGCCCAGGTCTGGAAATGAGGCCTAAAAAATTTGTCTTTTCAAAAATAAATGTTTTTAAACTTTGATTTTCATTTTAGATTTTTAAATTTATTTTTTTAAATATTTTAAGCTTGAAAAAGCATTAAAAATTTTAATTTAGCCATGAATTTTGAAAAATTTTCGCCTGCGGCGCATAAAATTAAGAGTTCTGGCCTCCTAAGTCCTTACAAAATTCTCAAAATTTTCGCCTCCGGCGGTGAAAAAGCTAGAAATCTGGCTTACGGATCATTAAAATTCTCAAAATTTTCGCCTGCGGCGCAAAAAATGGAAGAAATTTGGCTTCTTGGCCTTAAAAATTCTCAAAATTTTCGCCTGCGGCGCTGAAAACTGGAGAAAATTGGAGGCTTTAATGGAGATAAAGCGGAAGAATATTAGTATATAGTGGGATTTTATCAAGGTGATTTTACCAAGATATCCCTCTTTATCCCCAAATCCCACAATGGATCTTTAATCTCTTCAAATTTGCCTCTCTATATCACCCAAAATCCTATTATGCAACATAGCTTGTCTCCATACAATTTAGTTCACCAATATAATAACCCGGATTTTTCGCCAAACCCGAAACCCGTACCCGATATTTTTTCCAACCCGAAACCCGTGACCCGAAATGAAAATTTTTCAACCCGAAACCCGTACCCGATATTTTTGCCAACCCGAAACCCGTGACCCGAAATGAAAACGCTCCAACCCGATACCCGAAACCCGTACCCGAAGATTTTTTGTACCCGCGGCAACCCTGTTCCCTGGCATGGGGGATTAATCAAGAAAATAAGGTTTTGGTTTTGGTTCTTGGCCAAATAGAGGTTTATTTTAAGGAGGATTTTGAAAATTGTTCTCTGAAATTTTAGACTGTTAACTTTTCAAAATATTCTAGAAAAAAATTTTTTAGTTAACAATCCTGGTTCTGATAAAATTTAATTTTTATTTATTCTAAACGGCAACCCTTTATTATTTTTTAAATTTATTTTTTTGGTGATTTATTTAAAAAATAAAAATTGAGAAAGTTGATTGTTTATCCAATCATAGATTTTGCATTTCTCTTAAAGAGTGCCTTTTTATTTTTTATTTATTTTTTATTATTGGATAAAAATATTTTTTGGGAAGAAAAAAATTTTTTTGTTAAATAATTTAATTAAAAAAAATTTTTTTTTGAATTTTAACTGGCCAAAGCAAAGTTTTAAGAAATGTTTTTCAAAAAAGAAAAAATGCCGACAATATTTTAATTAATTTATAGGTTATCATCAAATAATTTTTTTTTCAAAAATATTTATTCGTCCAGAAACGGTTAATTACATAACCACTCTCGCGGCATCTTTTTCTTTAATTTAAAAGGAAAAAAATTATTAATAACTGAGTAGTACATAATTAGCTCTTCAAGAATGGAAAAAGGAAGAAAAAAATTAATTTTAAATCAAAGCCTTGTTAAATCAAATTCTGGAACCCAGATTTTGATAGGGTCGTCGTTAATACCTAATGTTGCCAAAGTTTGAAATAGACCCAAGAAGTATCAAGTCAATATCAAGAGTTTCCACGATCAAGAGCTGATGCTGATATTCCCACGGATCTCCCTACAAATCCCCTGCCCCATACGACACTGCTATCTTCTTTAATTCTCCGATATCCTTCAAATTTTCTTAATCCTCTGATATCCTCCTTAATGTCCTCTGTTAATGTCCTCCTTAAAATCCTCTGATTCTCGAATGTCCTCTGTTAATGTCCTCCTTAAAATCCTCTGATGTCCTCCTTAAAATCCTCTGATTCTCGAATGTCCTCTGTTAATGTCCTCCTTAAAATCCTCTGATGTCCTCCTTAAAATCCTCTGATTCTCGAATGTCCTCTGTTAATGTCCTCCTTAAAATCCTCTGATGTCCTCCTTAAAATCCTCTGATTCTCGAATGTCCTCTGTTAATGTCCTCCTTAAAATCCTCTGATGTCCTCCTTAAAATCCTCTGATTCTCGAATGTCCTCTGTTAATGTCCTCCTTAAAATCCTCTGATGTCCTCCTTAAAATCCTCTGATTCTCGAATGTCCTCTGTTAATGTCCTCCTTAAAATCCTCTGATGTCCTCCTTAAAATCCTCTGATTCTCGAATGTCCTCTGTTAATGTCCTCCTTAAAATCCTCTGATGTCCTCCTTAAAATCCTCTGATTCTCGAATGTCCTCTGTTAGTGTCCTCCTTAAAATCCTCTGATTCTCGAATGTCCTCTGTTAGTGTCCTCCTTAAAATCCTCTGATGTCCTTCTTAATGTCCTCTGTTAATATCCTCCTTAAAATCCTCTGATATCCTCCTTAATGTCCTCTGTTAATGTCCTCCTTAAAATCCTCTGATGTCCTCCTTAAAATCCTCTGATTCTCGAATGTCCTCTGTTAATGTCCTCCTTAAAATCCTCTGATGTCCTCCTTAAAATCCTCTGATTCTCGAATGTCCTCTGTTAATGTCCTCCTTAAAATCCTCTGATGTCCTCCTTAAAATCCTCTGATTCTCGAATGTCCTCTGTTAATGTCCTCCTTAAAATCCTCTGATGTCCTCCTTAAAATCCTCTGATTCTCGAATGTCCTCTGTTAATGTCCTCCTTAAAATCCTCTGATGTCCTCCTTAAAATCCTCTGATTCTCGAATGTCCTCTGTTAGTGTCCTCCTTAAAATCCTCTGATTCTCGAATGTCCTCTGTTAGTGTCCTCCTTAAAATCCTCTGATGTCCTTCTTAATGTCCTCTGTTAATATCCTCCTTAAAATCCTCTGATATCCTCCTTAATGTCCTCTGTTAATATCCTCCTTAAAATCCTCTAATGTCCTTCTTAATGTCCTCTGTTAATATCCTCCTTAAAATCCTCTGATATCCTCCTTAAAGTCCTCTGATGTCCTCTTAATAAATTTTTAATTTGCCAGTTATCAATTAATATTTCTTTTTAAAAATTCAATAGCCGGTATAAAAATTTTTTTGATTCGAAGTAAGACATCATTTCTTGCCATAATATACTATGTACTACAACAAAAATCAGATACAAATTAGCAATTCCTCCATCCCTTATTCCCTTTAATTTATTCAATTCATTTAATATAAAGCTAATTATAAAATATTTGCCAAGAGATGGGACGGAAACAGTGATTCTCGAATCCCTGTAATCCCTGTATAACAATTTTTATAAAATTTCAACTAAAAACTGTGTGAATTTGATAAATAGGAGGTTGGAAATTCTGGATGGTAAAAGACCGGAAATATCGAAAAATCCAAAAAACTGAAGTTAAAACATGAAAGAAACTTGGAAAAACACCAGAAATCAGAAACTAGAATTCCACCCAATCTCTGATTTTATTATAATTTTGTAATAGGTTCTCTGCCCTAAAATAAATAAATCAAAAAAAAATTATTAAAAAAAAATATTTTTTAAATTTTTAAGGAAATGTACAATTTAAAATTAATTTTTTGCATTTTCTTATTTTTTCTAATTTTTGTTAACTTTTCAATTGAAAAAAAGTGTAAATGCCTTTTAAAACAAACAAAAAATCCTTTGTTTCATCGTCGATTTAAAAGAGGAGGAAAATGTAGTTGTTTTGGAGGAGAGGGAGCTACAGATGATGATTATGAAGGATATACTCGCCGTCCTGGGAAAGAACCTATGAGGGAAGAAATTGAAGTTGAAGAAATTCAAAGAAAGAGCAAAAATGGCAGTAAAAGTGTTTTGTACATTTGCGACAATTTTTTCTTCTCCCATGTGCAATTTAATGTAAATTTTTTAAGTTTAAATTAAAGTAAAGCAGCCAAATTCATTCCTGAGTATAACAAGATTAGACTGGGACCATTGGTTGGAAGTTCATAACAAAATTCGTACTCTTACCTGTGTAAGAAGTACGAGTAACATGTACAAGAAAGTACGAGGTACAAGGCCAAAAATAGAGCAAATTTAAAAATTCCAACCACTGACTAGGACTAGATTATGAGATTGGGAGGAAGTTCTGGTTGGGAGGAAACTTCGCCGGCCTTGTTAGTTCAGTACCTATTTTTTCAGAGTTAAAGCGACGTTCTTTTTTAGTTCACCCACTAAAGTTTTTTATTCTATAATGGGCCTTTTTATCACGTTTTATAAAGTAATCTTTTTTGAAGTTAAAGAATTTTTATTTTAGACATTATTAGCCAACATTTTGACAACAAAGTATAATGTGGTTAGTTATACTGATATTTGGATGGAAAAATAACAGAAAAATGGCCAGAAGATGATTTAGAATTTTTAGTTTTTCTCTTTCCTTCAGACTTTCGAAATTGGTTCCTGGCTTTACTTGGTCCGCCCCCATTTGGTTTCGGGCCATAATTATTTCCTATAAATTTGCTTGGCTATCATGCTTTTCCTTAATTAA